GGCAACTATAAAATCGACTAAAGCGAGACGCTTTAGTTCCACTTTTCTTAAAAGTTTGTTAGCTTAATAAGTGGATTCGCAGAAAGTGAAGTTGGATTTTAATGACAAATTAACATACAGGGAGGTGGCCGACACATCGGCGTTAGACTTCGACCTAGAATGTAGTGAAGTGTTAATGGAATTCAAGGGTATTCTAGTTGTGAAGTAGGGTAATGGTAGAGTCGCGAGGACAAAGTGGGCCTTGTAATATTTTTCATCGGCGAAAGTAAGAATCAAGGGTTTTCCGGGTCGACTACAGTTAATAACAAATAGAGCGTTCATAGATTCGCCAAACATGAGGGCAGTCTGTAAAACAGTGAAAAAACTTTGAATTAACTTTTAAACAGGCGCATGTATCATGGTGAATAACACTTACTCGAAAATCTTTTTGGGAAAAAGTAAGATCGCATTCTTCACCTAACTGATAAGCCTCGAACTCAGTGGGAGCAACAGGGATGTGCGTGATGACAGCAGTAAAATCTAGAGAGTTAGATATCACTCAATTACCTGAGTCAGGGACGTAGTTGCGAAAGACACATTCGCCTTCCTGCAAGTCCATTGTCACTTCAGTTTGACTTGGTCTAAAATTCTGCATGATTTCGCTAGCCACCCTGATGCAAAACGACAGATCAACATAGACGAGCCATTACTTTGACGACATTACAATCTGACAAGTGGAGCTACTTATGCTATACACGGCCTCAAGACTCTCACATTCAATGATGGAGAGATTATAGGTCTTAACGATCCCTGAACACTAGGTTACGACAATGAAATGTCAAAACCATGCCGTTGAAAAAACTGCACAATAAGTCGATTTTGGTCATTTTCTAGGCACATCTTGCATCTTTGTAGAGCTTTTTCCCAAGCTATATTCTGCCTAAAAACTTTACAACATGTCTATATAGAGTAAATTAAACGCTAAAACAACCTTGGCGCTTAGCTTGAAGCGTACAGAAGTTTCTGTAAGTTTAGAGGCATTTTCGAAAAAGCACTCAGAAAAGTGCACAGCAGCGAATGCCGAACGGGTTGAGTTGACACAGCGAAGACTAAACTGGAGGGAAGAATCGTCCATTTGTGAATGCGCGCACCTCATGTGGATCACATTCAAAATATATTTCATCACCAAGTTTACCCAGTACCGAAACAGCTCTGTTGAAAACTAGTCGACTAATGCGTAAACATCTTGCCACTTACTTTTCAACTCTGCAAGCAAAAGCGAAATCTTCATTTCATCTAAAGAAAAATTATCGAGAGATGGAACAAGTATGTGAGCATAAACAACACGCATGAAAATGCGTGCAGTAAACCTGATTAAAGATAGCTAACCAATCAGAGTTCTCAGTTGACGATATAAATATGCAACAAAATCAACATTATGGTCCAAAACTCATCCAAAACATAGAAACAACAGGCAGTTCAAACTCGCACACGGATATCACCAACATCATTTGAAAAACGCGGCTCATCCTTGGACAATATGAACACACAAATAGCAGCCATTTAAAACCAAGAGGAAACTGTTGTTATGGGGCTTCATTAAAAGCGCACTCATCACAAATTAATCTTTTATGCCTTCTTCGTGTGCAAATAAAGAAATGGTTTAGCCAATCTTTTTTGCAAAATGTTTTTGATTTTTTTACTTTTTGGCTGCAGTTCTGCTTTTAATGTAAAGTTTGGAGCCGAACCAAAGGTATATGATCAGGATTTTATGGACGAACATAATTTATTCCTATAATGTATTATGAAGCTCCCTGTTTGCATTACTGCAAGGATACGCTTCTAATCGAGTAAGCTAAGAGTTATACTAATCCATCATCCTTTTTACTCTTTGTAGTTCAGAGTACTATACGCCACACTCTTTCACTCTGCAGTATCTCTCGCTCTACCGTCCTGATCCTTTACTTCTGTCTTCGCACTTGAAGAATTATTCCAAGAGGGTTTACTAGACACCTTTACAAGGCACATAGTGATAGGTGCAGTTGGGTATGACAGAGGACGTATCCACATATCCTCGACAAGGGACCGTACTCTTTTCCGGCACATAATTTGTGCCAATTTTCCATCCTCCACCATAAGAAGCACAATCTAAACAACCAATAAATGCAACATATCCCCTGTGATTTGGCAGATGAGTGTCTGTAAAACTTTATTGGGGTCATCAGGGTTCCAGCGCAAAAAAACTCGTCTACATGGCCTACGAAAGGTGTTGTCTCTGTATGAACAAAACTTTTTATGGTAAACCGGCATTGAGGATTCATAGCTCTGCGTTGTGAATCAGGTCATTTGTGAGCAAGGACTCTAATGACGTGCATTCTTAGAGGAGGGATTAGGTCGTATACATGGAAGA